AATACCACTTAGATCATCCATCTTTCCTTTTCCTTTGCCTTTACTTTTCGGGTCACTAGGTGGAGGACCTCTAGATCTGGTGTCATATGCTGATAATGCCAGAATGCACGAACTAACCTTTGGGAGTGGGAATAATTAAAAGAAATAAAAACAAAAGGTAATCAAGTTAGTAAGACAAAGTAAAAAATTTTTTGCAATATTTAGACATGTATCACATAAGGTTATGCAATAATTCACATCCTAATTTGGAGACCTCATTGTGCCTGAGTAGGCCTAACAGACACATAGACTTGGAGGAAATTCATGGCAACGTTTGCCTCATTCCATTAATGTGAAAATAATCCAAATCAATCTTTCACTAAATCGACAATAATTATAAAGTCATTAATGACATTAAGACTTATTACATCGAAATCTAATCTAATCTAGAAAACAATAAAGAACATTATCTCCTTGTCTACTTGGTCCCCGAAGGACCTTCTCCATGCTTGGCTCTTTTAACCTCATCAATCATATTCCCCAGATTGCGCATGTCTAGTAGCAAGTAAGCCTTTTCCAAATTCCCTCCTTCATGATCGTCCATGCCTTGACAATCCCAAAGCCTCTTTCTCATCTTTCCCTCTAGCTCTATCAATCCTTGTTTTAGATATTCTAACTTCTTTGTTTACTTATTGGCAATCTCTTTCCCATCCCTTATCGCCTCCATGTTCACTTTATGTTGTTCCAAATGCTTAGCTTCGGACTCGAACAATCTTTTGTGTAGCCTTTTATACTTCACATGTGCCTCAACCACCTCATCTATGATCCTATCTTTCAAATTGACTCATGGTTTGACATGCCCGACTATGTCGTCCTGTAACTATGAGCGATAGTAGTACATGTGATCGGTGTGATACCTGTCTGGTTCAATAGTCTCTCCTTCTACGATGATCTTTTAGTTCCACATATGTTGCTCTTTGAACTTAAATGGGATGACATCCCCTTTGAAATCCGCCATATATTGAATCATGTTAGAAACCCGAGGTAAGGGTAGATTCCTCGTAGCCCGATCATTACTAAGTGACTAGTTTCTTTGGATCTGATAATCAACTCACTACTATGAAACCATTCAGACATCCAATGAACTTGCTCGTCTATCAGATTACTGAAGAAACACACCCAACCTATAGTATTTCCAGGCTTTGCAAACCTATCAGTGATGAATTTCATATACTTTGGATGATGACTGACGATGTATTCATTTAGCGGCCTTCACAGAAGCTCCTGACGATAGTCACCCCTCTGAAAGTGTTCCAGCAACCAAACTTGCAAGAGATTACAACCCTCAAAGTGTCCAGACCCATGCTTGCACCGATCTAGAGCACGGTACATCTCAGCTAAGATCATAAAGATGATGGTGTATGTTTGTCCATCGATACCCTCAATTAAGGTCCTAGAGACCATGGCTAAACGAGTATGAGTTCTTCCCCCTTGCATTGGAAAGATCAATAAACCCAAGAAATAGACTATGAAAACTTAAACCCGGTAGTGCACCCATCCCAAAGAGGTAATAGCTAGCTCCTCATGATGAAGGCGATATGAGTTGCTATGCCCATAATGCTTATAGAAAAATTCAAAGGGGATGTATGATTTCTTCAGACAGACTAGATCATCATTTTTCTTAAAACCAAACATCTTCAGAAAATCGTGGAGTACGATTCTCTGGCACAAATAGTCCTGGACTATCCCATGGTAACTTGGCGAAACCCCCTATTTCTTCCAGGAGAGGAGTCAATTCTACATTACCACATGAGAAAACATCTCTCTTCTTGTCCCAGAACATGGTAGCAGCCTCAATCAGTTCCCTATTTGGTTGAATGTTCATCAGAGATAGAAGGTTACTAAGTACTCTCCTCACATGGTTTCTGTCACAAGATGCAAGGTCTTTCCACAATCAATTAGCAAAGGCGGGATATTTTGGACCATACCAAACCTGGGGATTTCGTGCTTCATTTTCTGCAAACAAATAAAGGTTATCCCTTTCTCCCTCCAAATTAAGCTATTTACGCAATAATGATCAATATGTTACCAAGTTTTTCTCCAAAAAAATGCACATAATATGATGGTGTCCTTTGGGATTATGGAAAACCTATTGGATTTTGGACAAGGTTCATCTAAGCGGGTTGATACGTCAATAACGTCTCAATCTATACTACATTTAGCATGACGCATGTACATTTCAAATCGGAGTATGGTTTCTAGAAAGGTCTAGACTGGTACTCTCAAGTGGACAACTTGAGAGGGAAAGGCACGGGACCGTCGACTGTACCGTTGATCGACTAGTCGACTACAAATAAGCCTTTCCGATTTTAAAAGGGTGATTTCAGGAAAGTGTGGACACTCATCAAGTGCCACTATATTGATAATAAGCACAAGTGGAGTATGATGTAGAGCATGCTTTATGCAGAAATAGTAACACGTTGCCAAGTATTTGCATGATAAAAGCGCATAAAAAGAGTAAATATATGGTAAAGATGAACATGAGGAGAAAAATAAGAGAAAGGAAGACAAAAGAGAGAAGTTAGTTTAACTCTTGAAAATGTGCGAGAACGCAATGAAGCAAATAGGGAAATAAGGACGGGATAGTCATGATATAGCAGTCTTAGACAAGATGAAGGAAACAGGGAGAGGACGTACATGTCATAGCAATAAAGGAAAATAGGGAGGGGATGTTCATGTCATAGCAAAATTTAGATAGAAAATAAGGGAAAGGATGTTCATGTCATAGCAATTTAAACGAATAAAGGGAAATGAGGGAAGGGATGCATATGTCATCAAGTAATCCACACAAGTTAACTTCGTCGTGGTAAAATCCTAAGTGTAAATCCCTAGTAGAGTCGCCATGTTGTCGCGCCTCTTTTTCTTATAAAAATGGGTTTTGACATGTGACAACTCTTTTAAATAGGTATTAAAATAGAAGAGTCGCCACCTAACGACTTTTAAGGTGTGTTAGGGCACCTATTTGTAAATGACTCTGATTTAACTAGTCTATGCCACCAAAGATCAGGTAAGGGATCAAATTACCTCTAAGAGAAGGTGTTAGGCACTCTTCGAGGTCCACAACGATAGGTCCCAGCTGAAGTTCACATTATGCAGATTACTATAATTAAGCTAGGTGATCAAATAAGTAAAGAAAGATGTGGAAGTTGAAGGTTCTATTGTAACATAAACAAGTGTAAAGAAAACAACATAAGAATTTAAAATATATAAATAATCAGTACAAGTCCCAGAGGTTACAAGGATACAATTGTGTTGGACTATATTTGACGACTAAATGCGAACAACAAGCATCTAAATGGAAAGGGGGTCCTAAGTTTTTTAGCCTAAAGGATCACCCCGTGCAACATAAATAATACTTCGCAACTCCCTTATGATAAGAGTTACTCATATTATTCAGCGAGCACAGACTATCATCTCCTGCTACCCGATTACTATGTTAAAGTTGTTACTTAAAGGTGTTCTAATTCAATTCTAGGTCGCATCCTATGCGTGCACTACCCGTCCCATGCCTATGATCCATGAGGCTTTGAACCTACTATTTAGGTGGTTCTAGAATTCACTTAGGGTGCTCAAATTGATAAAACTAGGCGCACATTCAAAACATATAGGATTTCACATAAAAGCAACAAATGGCTCAAGTTCACCTCCACACATAAGCAACAAATGCACGGGGGCAAATTTAGGCAATAGATAGTTGAAACGTGTTTTAGTAGTTAAATCCTATAGGCATGATTTCTATATGATTCTGATTTCCAGTGTTTGTACAGGTGGTACTGCAGCTTTAGATTAATGAATTTGTAGCTTATACACATTACAGACCCTATAGGCATGATATCTAAATACCTAGCAATGAGGTAGTGAAACAACTTGAAAGCCCAGGATTAACAACGTCAATTTCGTAAATAGATTCTTATGTGAGTGACAGTCCTATAGGCAAGATTTCTAACAGTGATAATTATACTTAATTTAATAACACTTTATCCCTATAGGCATGTCATCTACGTGTAGCAATTCATCGAAGCAACACAATAATTAATTAGTTGATTAAGATCCTATAGTCATGATACCTAGACGAGCAGTATACTAAAAGCTTATAGAGACAACCGATTGATTGATTAGTTGGAGCCTTATAGGCATGATGTATAGCCTAGAGAAGCACATTTTATTGCATCCTATGGACATGCTGTCTAAACGTACACAATGAAGGAGATGGGAAAAAAGTGCAGCAGAGGCCTAAACTATCATGCTTTGAGTGGTGCACGAGTATTAGATAAATTAAGTGAAGTGTGTGACTTCTTATAGGCATGATTCCTATGAATGTTGTTGACACTCAATTTTGTCCATCCTTACTCCATATTATGCTAATGAGCTACTATTTTATTTAAAAGTCATAATAATATTTACATTATTTTCTTATGTATTATAATAAATACTACACTTTTTATTTATTATTATTATTATTATTATTATTATTATTATTATTATTATTTTATTGTTATATTTTTATAACTTTTACTACATAATAGCAACTTTTAAAAATATAAAGCATTTACAATTTATTCTTTAGCTTGTTCAAATATTTATATAAAATAGTATTTGTTTTTCAACTTCTTGTATCTTATTGTTTTATTTACTAATTATCATTCCTAATTATTTTATTACTATATCATTTTAATTTAATAGCAGCTCAATTATCAATCTCACACATAACTCCAAAATCAATTAAGCCCAAAACCCATTCCACCATCAAATCCCAATATAATTAGAACCCCAAACCAATCCCAAGCCCAGATGAATATGTTGTGAACCAACCTTACTTGGTAAGGAATTATGGGCCAGAAATGAGGAACGAGGCCGACTCAGTTGGAACTATTGGGACAAGAGCTAAAGTCCCAATAATTGAACAACCAAACAGAATACTACTACGTTATATTTGGGATCCAGGGGGAGATACGGGGCAGGTATGTTGTTGAATGAAATGTTTGCTTCTCCTCATCTTCCTTCTCTAATGTCTGTATCATCTCATCCACATTCTTAGTCTGGGCTTCTCCTCCCTTCTTCTCTATTCTGTGTATTTCAGTTTAGTATCTCTAATTTCTTTAATAGTTTGAGTTGAGTTGTAATTTCCTGTCACTGCTGAAGTAATAGAAGTGTTGAAAAATTGGTTGTTACATTGGTGCTTTTATCCAGAGGTTTTCAATGGAGGACCAAAAACTCAAGCTCAAGGCTCTCATTGATGCATCTGTGAAGGGAGTGACAAATTCATTTTCCAAGGATATCGTTGAGATTCGGTGTATGTTACAAGATGTGGTGGGGAAAATGACACCGACCGCTTCTCAGTCTCGCTTTGGGTTGGGTTCGTCCATGAAAGCTATGTCGGTGAAAATACCCAGATTCAGTGGTGATGATCCAGCGGCATGGGTATTTCAGGTAGAACAATATTTCACACGCTATAACATTTTTTCAGATCATAAATTGTCATTGGCTTCTTTATATTTGGATGGTGAGGTTTTGGATTGGTATTGTTAGTTATATCGAAACAAACAGCTAGCGGACTGAGACCATTTCGTGGAAAAATTGTTTATTCATTACAGAACTCGGAGTCGGGAAGCACCTGACAGGTGTTTAGCCTTTCTCCTGAAGCTTACCACAGTGGACTATTGTCCAGCACGAGCTGTAGCTATTCCGCCTTGGAGCGCCATGGCCAAATTGCCCTCGCCTCAATATTGGAATCCACAATCAAGCCACAACAATTTGAACTCTAACTACGAGGTGTTTGGGAAAAATCCGGATAGGGAAACTGATAATATTGTAGATGATAAAACAACAATACCAATAGCTGATGCTACTAAAGCAGAGGGTGAGGATGAAGATGCAGTGGTACAAGTCAAAATTGATGATGGCACTTAAGTTTTGCTAACTCAAGCAAAAGAGAAGACGGGCAGTTCGGGTTTGGATGACAACGAAGAGGATTTCCTGCCTCTTGTTATTGAAGTTGGGGATACACGTTCCCCAAGAGATACATCACGGAGGTACGTTATTGCAACTTCTCTTGGTTGTGGCTCTATTAAACAGAAAATTGAAATTGTGTCATTTGAAGACATGTATCTTGCTGAATTTTTCATGGAGCCTGAGACTATTGAGGATCTATGTCTTGATAAATTTTTTATAGAGAATGAGGATAGCATTCCAACAAGTGACAAGACTTCAGATGAAATAATTCCCGATGTTGAGCATGGGAAATCTACGATGGGATTCATTGATCGCCATAATTTGAGTCGATATCCATTTGACTGTGGTGCTAATTTCTTTATTCTCACCATTCCCATAACTGCGAGGGATCATTGTGTATGGGATTCAGGAATTAGTTCCAAGTTCAGGGCTTTAGCGGGTTTTACAGAGAACAGGGAGGCACATAAACTTTTTGAAGAAGCTAGAAAAAGAAGGAGCTATTTATTTGCAAATTTGTATGCATGGGAGCATGTAGGTGGAGTTGCAAGGGGTGTTGAATGTAGTTGTAATTTTAGAAATTCACATGCATCATACAAGCTATTGAGTGAGTCTATAACGTTTTCATTCCTGTGTTCTTTTGATAGTGTTCCTACATATATTGAAGAGCAATACATAATTGATCAGTTTAGGCATTTACAGAGCGGAAAGGCTCTTGAGCTTAGTATGTTATACCCTGATATAGCATCCAAGCTGGTGATTTGCGTTAATGAACTTGTAGCTACTGCCCTAGTTAAAATGTATACCAACAATGCTCAACTGGACAGTGCCGAGATGCTATTCTCTAAGACTGGATATGAGGATAAGATTATTGTCATTTATGCTACATTTTGTATATGGATGAACCAGAGGCAAAAGCGAGTGATTATGGATTTTGTCCAATTTATTTCTCCAAAAGAACTACGTTGTGCAATAATTAGTGAGCATGTAACTGGCTCATCCTTATTGAGTTTGAATTTTTGGAAAATGAGATTTATACATGCACCTACTATTTGGAGTAGATATTTGTTAGATATACACCAAGTTCCTCTATTTCTATCAAGAACTACTTGTAACAATGTTATGTTTGGGATATGCTATAAACCACAGATCTTTTTAAAGGCAATGCAAAATAGTTTCTTGTCCTTCAATTGGTATTTGTTGATGATGGAAAGTATTGTGATCTTTTGTGCACAAAGAGCACTGTTCAAGAACTCCATAACCAACCTACTTGTTGGGGTTACCAACGCTCTTACTTTGGAGAGAATTGTCCAGGAAGCTCAAGTCAAGTGAGACTCTCTAAATGCCAAGATTGTAGCTTGTTGCCTTATGATTTATGGTGGTATTATGCCAAAGATTGTCAATGTTATAGTGGCCACCATCTCATGTCACGTTGCCATAGATCACATCTTCTCCTTATATTCCCCAGGATACCTTTGTGTAGAGACAATTGACAGGGTGCGCGCTACTAACACCTCTCTTGACTCGAACTTTGAGGACAAGGTTCTTTTCAAGGACGAGAGTATTGTTGTGAACCAACCTTACTTGGTAAAGGATTATGGGCCAGAAATGAGGAACGAGGCTGACCCAGTTAGGACTTTTGGGACAAGAGCTAAAGGCCAATAATTGAACAACCAAACAGAATACTAGTACGTTATATTTGGGATCCAGGGGGAGATACGGGGCAGGCGTGTTGTTGAATGAAATGTCTGCTTCTCCTCATCTTCCTTCTCGAATGTCTGTATCATCTCATCCTCATTCTTAGTCTGAGCTTTTCATCTCTTCTTCTCTATTCTGTGTATTTCAGTTTAGTATCTCTAATTCCTTTAATAGTTTGAGTTTGAGTTGTAATTTTCTATCACTGTTGAAGTAATAGAAGTGTTGAAAAATTGGTTGTTACACAATAGACTTCATTGTTCCTACCAAAACTAATTTTCTAAACTATGTTTCAGCACCCCACGTGACCCAGCAACCCAACAAACATTAACCCCAAATTAAACTCTTGCCAATTTCTCCTTCTAGAGGACGTTGTCAATCTTGTCGCCGGCAAACATGCCAACTCTCCTTTCTCGCTTCTTTCTTAAAATTTTCAATTCAAGTTCTTAATTTTATTCCTCTTTCCTTCTTTTCTCTTACTTCTTTCCTTAATTCTTCCTCCTCATTAGTGATGGTTCATAACTAATTTGATTTACCTCAATTTGGAGCCAAGATTTCAGCTCCATGTTTTGGCCACGATGGCCATCGCGCTAGAGGATTCGTACGCTAATCTTTCCATTTCGGCGCCCGTAGGTTCAAATCAATTTGATGAACTTGGACAGGATATGAGATTTCTCAAATTGAAACTCCAATCTCATTTGATTGCTATGACTCCAATTTTTCCGTGAGCCTCCGGTAGGCATTTGATTTCTTTCCTTATCCATGTCTGATTTTTAATAGCTGAATTGAAAACCCCCAACGGCTATAAAGATTTCAATTATAAATACTGATGATTTTGGGGGAAAAGAAAAAAAAAATGCTCAGCTTATCACTACAACTCAGGGATTATACTTTATACCTTACATCTACTGTTTATAGCTCACAATTACACGCTGGGCTTCTGATCACTATCTTTATTACTACGATAATTATTATTTAGTCCCTACGTCTCTGCTTTACTAGCTGCAATTCTTTATGGCAAAGTTCGGTTCTTGATACTCGCTTGACACAATCTTAACGCGTCGAGCTTGGGTATTTGTTGCTGTTGAAGCTCGGTTCGTGAATCGTTATTTGGATCTTTGGATTTCTTATTAATTTGGCACTTCGCAAACTGGTTAGTTTCTTTGTTATGTCAGTTAGGTATGAAGCAGTTGCTTTCGACACTATTCCTTAGTTCCTGTGATGTGGTAGTTATGTGTAGCGTAGTCGTTTTAATTCGTGTATGCTTGGACTGCTCGAATGCTACAAGCATTCTGCTCGGAAGTGCACAGGTCCGTTCCTACTCCCTTTTTCTTAAATCTTTTCCTTCTGTGTATATATCATATGTGCGGGGCAGCTTGACCCTTTGATTTGATATGTGCCAGATATCATGTTTTGAGATCCACCATGATTGAACTCATCTAATGAATTGAATTTCACTTATTTGTGACAAGTTTGAATGTATTCTCTACCACTTAGACACCATGACATTAGGATTACAGTAAATAAAATTGGATTTGAAACTGTTAAATCTCGTAAGTTTCAAGGCGATCTGATCGCCTCACATGCTTAAGTTGCTTTGTCAAAGTATGTGTACGCTATTTGCTTAAATAATAAAAGAAGTCTGCGATTTTAATGTCACTAATTTGATGTCTAAATGCTTAACCATCTAGATAACGTGTTGTAGGTTAAAGGGTTAATTCGTGATGAAATTTATGTCTGCATGAACTTCAACCTCTGCATGTTTTCTGTAATCTCTGTTGCCTTGAGATGTAGCACATATGATCTCTTAGAATCCACTTTAGAATAGTAAGCATGATAATATGCTTTCGTGGTAATGAGCGCAGATATATGTTGGGGAATTATTGTGATATTTATTTGGTCATGTTTAAATGATGAGAGTGATTTGAACATATACAAGTCATACTCATAGGATTAACAAGATAATTTTTTATAAATAAGAAAACTAGATATCATGCTCTTAAGTTGTCCATGTAACAAGAATACTTTTCTGTTAACGTCAATATAATTTGAATCAATGCTTTCTTTTTCCTTTGCTGGGTTTAAGTTGTTGAAAACATGAACACTTAGATATCATGTTCCTAGGATATCTCTAGGGACTTGACACATTTTTTTAAACTAATAGAACATGTGGTCACCTAATACACATGTTGTGTGCAATTCTGTGCATTTTCCAGCTGGTGTAAGGTCGCAGGATCTCAAGTATTGGACCAGGATATGGGAATATGGAGTTCAATTGTGTTCACATAGCAACTTTAAGAACTCATTCTATTTCTTAGTCATTTTAAATCCATGGTCTGTAATAGCTCTAATAACGGAAGGAGATTTGCCTGCTATTTTTTGTTGTGCTCTCTCTGTTCCTTATTTGCTTTGAGACTTTTTCTTCAATTATATGACATAATTTTATGGTTTAACCAATTAGCATTTATAGGAATGATTAAGATAAAATTCGATTTGCTTTTTACCGGGTAAAGAAATGATGTTCTAGTTTGAAGCAGTGCATTATGGATCTTCGAAACAGGACAAGTCTTTTACTATTTAATAAATACTCAAGGCTATATGTGTTAACTCCCCTTTGTCTCTTTTTTTNAAGTATTTGGACTTTATTTCCATCTAATGGGAACTTCTAAATCTATTCTAAAAGTACATAACTAGAGTCACATATTTGTTGGACTTTGTCCAGTTGTGTTATATTGATCTTTTCTATCTTATTCCAAATTTTATCGCGTTATTTTTAAGATCTAGTCATTATATTAGCTATCCTATTGTATCGGCCTACTTTCTTCCATAATTTTATACAATTGCGTTATACTTGGTTAAAATAACAAAAATTTCCATTTTCGTGAGCCATACTTTCTACAACTAACTAATTGCTTAATTAATTCGGAGGCCAACATGAGCCCTTACTTGCCTTATGTGTTATTTGTTTAAGTCCTAATGTGCTCTCTCTTATGTGACGCTAATAAGAATAGAAACAGAAACTTGAGATTTTCTTTACGTCTAGAACCATCCCTTTAGAATAGTGTCCAAAGCCTCCTGGACTATAGGAAAGGACAGGTAGTTTTGAATTAAGACGTGATTTTGAATTAATTCGTGCGCTCCTAAGTTATCAACTTAAAGATAGTAAAGAGGGTAGCAAACATGATACACAAATTGCCCGAATAACTATTGCACTTTTGGCTATAAAAGTCTTTGCAAACTTTGCACGGGAGTTGATCCATCAGGCTTAAAAATTTAGGTCCCCCTTTTATGTAATTAAGTAGGCTTTCTACGATTTACAATCCTTATATTTTTGTCATGCATGGTTTTAAGTAATTGCTTTTTAAATTGGTGTATATACTTGATCATTTAGGATTAATTCACAACTTAGTAATCTACATCCTAGTTTAATTCAATAATTCCACATAGTGTAAATTCGGTCGGAAACCACAGTTGTGGACCTCGAAGAGTGCCTAACACCTTCTCGTCCTTACCCGATCTTTGGTGACGCAACTAGTTAAATCAAAATTATCTGCAAATAGGTGCCCTAATGCACCTTAAAATTGTTAGGTGGCGACTCTTCTCTTTTAATACCCATTTAAAAGAGTTGTCACATGTCTAAGCCCGCTTTCGCGAGAAAACGGGGCGCGACAAATGTGTAATGTAGGAGCACGTCAAACGAATAGCAAACAAGGCAATTAAATCCTATAGGCAAGTTTTTTTTACCTGTTCATGCAAGAATTAGAATACTCAAACCCTCCTTTCACTAATTTCCCCATCATCCGATTTTACAAGTTATTACAGACCATATTGAACAATCATAGGTCCAATTACAAATATAAAATAACCCAGTAACATCAGGCCTTCAAATAGGCTTAGAACTTCACACGGATAGCAGGCCTAAACTCCAGGTTCGGATAGTGTATGTTTGACCTCCAGTACCAAAATCAAGCCCAACATACCAAGCCCAAACGACTGCCTCACTTACCCATTGGGACACCAAACTGGCCTTACTGATAATACGAGTAACAAACTATGTGAAGGATCAATTGAGCAACTTTGAAATCTAAGCACTTAGCCCTTAAGGCAGTAAAGAATAGAGGTTTCCAAACTAGAGGCATACAAATAGGATTACACAAAAGTCTCAGCAAGCATAAGCGTACAGATGTTATACTTCCCAAAAAACAAGTTAAGATAGTGCACCAAAGTTAAACAGTGTTCCCACATAAAACATGGTCCATAATTAACCTAAAGGTACTTTAGACCTAAGAATCTTAGTTATGGAAGTCTAACAGAGACATAGTCAGGAGAACAACAATAACAACATGATAGTAGGCATGATCCACGACAACTTAACATGCAGAGTATACACAAGGGTTCTAGAATCTGAAGAACTCATGATAGGAAGACATTTGACTTAGTTAATGGAAAAGACATACTTAGAAGTTTTAGGCAAACACCAAAGAATGCAGGATTGAACAAACTCACAGTATAGTTCTCAGCCACAGAGCAACATGTATGACTAGAACATTTAGACAACAATAAGCTCATAATGTCCATATAAGCATAAAATGGAAAAATAGTGGAGTAAACTTAAAGGATGCATCAAAAGAAATTTGTTAGAACAAGTTATGAGCAAAAATTAATCCCTTAAGGGTTTCAATACAAGGATCTCAGGCAAGGCATGAGCAAAGACTCGCAACAAACAATAGGTGACCTGAACAGCAGAGCAGGTTACGAAATTACTCAAACTGAACCTAACTAACATATATTAAAATCTAGACAGGCTGCGACACCAAGAAATTCAAGACTGCATAATAGCTTCAAAAGCAAGTAGGATTGCAAATTAAAATAACACAATACTAAAGCCATATTGGCTCACAAAGATCAATCAACATGAACATACATAACACTGAATGCAAGCAAAAGAAAAATAGGATTGCAAGATTTGAGGTACTCATCAGTTTATAAATGAAGAAGTAAGTAAAAGAGGGAATCAAGTGTCGGGGGTGATTCGATCAGCAGTAATAGAGAAAGAAAAGCAGGATTCCCAAAATCTCAGTGCGTCAGAGTTCCCAAGGGTTTCTAGTGAACCCCAGACAGTGCTCGCACTGAGAAAAGAGAAACAATCGAATTTCGGTGGCCTTGGCTTTCAGCCGGCCAAGGGCTCAAAATAAAGAATAGTAGAATAAGTGAGGGTGAGAGAGTAATAGCAGTAGTTAATTAATGATCATTGAGAGCTTCAAAGGGAACGAGGAAGGGGTTTACGTAGTGGCAAATTAGACGAACAAAACAAGGAATGACAGTTGATTAAACACAAAAAGAAAAGAATATATCCTATGCATACTCGAATCAGTAAAGAAAGCAAGAATTTCAAAGCCTAGTTGGAATCGGACTCAGGGCAAATTGTTCACAAGCCCTAATCACGATGGAATCAATGGAGATATGCCATAAATAAGAAGAAATTTCCTCTTTCTGAGTGTATAAAACCACAATTGCACTCAGAACCATAGAATCAAAGCCAAATCAGTGAGAATCGAACTTGTCATAAGTATAATGGTAGCGAAAGTTACCATAAATGAATGATAATAGCAGAAAAAGGTAAGTAGAATTCGCGTATGAACACGTTTGAGCAAGGGCGATGGGGGATCTTTTAGGTCGGGTAGGGTTTGGTCTCTGAGGGAGAAGAGAGTAGGCGAGGGCGGTTGTGGAGAGATAAGTGGTCTCTAGAGATTGGTCATAGGGATATAAGGAGAATGGGGGATTTATTATGGGTCGTTGATCATTTTAAGATCAATGGCCAAGATCGAATAGGACAGAGCGGGTTAAATGAAGGGGTCGCGACCGAATTAAAAGGGGTCATTTTGTTTGGGGGGGGGGGGGGGGTGTTGGGATAATGGTTTAGGCAAGATTTTGGTCCGAAATTAGCCCTATGTTGGGGCTATAAATTAAATATATGAAATTTATTAAAAATAATTTATAAAAAATAATTAATAAATAATAAAATATTACTCAGACAATAAAATTATTATAAATAATAGATTAACATTATAAAAAATATAAAAATACTATTTTAGCATGAATAATGTAATTATATTTAGAATATAGGCTATTATTGTAAAATTATATAAATAGCTCAAAAATACAAATATAATTATATGAAACGAAGTAAAAATATTATAAAATATATATGCCGATGTAAATAATAAACTGAATGATTAAGCTATCACAAAGTAATTTGAAAGGGTAATTAATAAATATTTGAACAATTTAAATGCAAGAAAATCAGTTTTAAAGCCTTAAAACTTATGGAAATATTATAGTAAATACTTATGTGACTCTTGTAAATTGGTGATGATTCAAAAAGGATATCTTGAAAATATTCGATGTTAGGCAAAGGGAAAGAGTCCTTCGGACACGCCTTGTTTAGATTCTTATAATCTACACACATCTTAAGCTTATTTTATTTTTAGGCACGACTAGTACGTTAGCTAACCAATCCGGGTATTTAACTTACCGGATCGAACCTAGTTTCACAAGTTTAGATACCTCGTCTTTGATGAATGCTTGTTTGATCTCGTACTATGGCCTTCTCTTCTACTTAACTGGGTGAAACTTTGGATCCAAGCTCAATTTGTGAGTTGTTACCTCCGATGGAATCCCTATCATGTCTAGATGGGAGTAGGCGAACCAATCGGTATTAGCTTTAAGAAAATCAATAAATTTTTTCCTAAGCTCGGGGGCTAATCCCGTGCCCAGTTATACCTTTCGATCCGATAGGTGCTCGATTAATATAACCTACTCCAACCCTCGATCGTCGATTTGGTGGCGTCAGTCTCATTGGGGGCTATGAAAGATCTCAAGATGTTGTAATCATCCTCATCGTACGCTCCGTGCTCCTTCTATTTTTTCGGCTCGGTTGAGGCCGGTATCATTGATTTCTATTTAGTTTTTTTTCTTTGGTCGGTTCCCTGCTTTTTGATATTGAAACCGCGGGCACCGGGATTACTTCATCGACAATGAAATTTCCTTTACAGTCAACTGTTCTCTGTAGACTGTTTTGTCTCCTTTAGGAGTGGGAAATTTTAGTGCTTGATGTAAGTTCGAAGGCACCGCTCTCATGTATTGAACCCATGGCCTTCTGAAAAAGGCAATGTACCTCATATCCTCTTCGATCACGTAGAACTTTGTTTCTTGGGTGGTCCTCGTAGTGTTTACCGGTAAATTTATCTCACCCTTCATGGTCTCGCATGCAATGTTGAATCCTTCAATACCCGGACTGCCGGTACGATTTGATCCTGCAACCGTGGTTGTTCTATGACCCTCGATCTTATGATGTTAGCCAAGCTACCTGGATCAATCAACACACGTTTAACGCGAGATTTATTGATAAGTACGGATATTACTAGTGCATTATTGTGAGACTGGACGATGTTCTTGGCGTCTTCATCGCTGAACGAGATGGCTCCTTCGGGGACGTAATCCCGTTTTTCTCTCGTGATAGAAACTTTGGTACGTTTTATCA